GGGATAGTGAGCAGCTACTGGGCTGTGTTCTCTTGGATTTCCTTGACGTCTGAAATTTTGTTCCTTTCAAGTGGGAATTGATTTTTGAAAAGGAAAAAGTTGCAAGGGGCAAGTTCTAGGGAATATGGTAATTGTCAGACCTAAGGAATGTTGTGGTTGGCCAAAAACTTCTGCACAAGACATGGTCACTGATGAAACATCTGTGATTTGGTGAGGTGACCACACTCTACACACTTTCCTTCCAAGCACTACTATAAACAACGAAAGTGAGTCAGAAGGTTATCACTTAATGTTCATATGCGACAGTGTTCAAGGTCAATCTGTGTCAAGTGGCTTCACTCTATGTACTTTATCTCTGTTGTCATAGCAACAGTCCAAATATTTTTGGATCAGACCTTTTACAGTGTGCAAATATTTTCTGGTCCAGTAGTTCTCAACTATTTTTGCCTATTGCTCCTATTTCACCATAAGTCAGAATGTCATTTTCCCATTTTCCAAGAAAAAAAAAAAAAAAAAAAAAAAACCCGAAAATCTTTAAATTTATAAAATGACGTTGAAATTTTTTTACCGTTAACAATTTTTTTTTTTTTTTTTTTAAACCAGACGACATCCATTCAAATGATGTCAGGTTTCATTGTAAAATACATCCCTACCCCTTTCAAATTGTAGCTAATAACTGATACAATGATACTGACATAAGGAAAATCTAGACATCCCTTGTTCAATTTAAGTAGAATATTCTGTAACCATGGAAACGTGATTTTAGCTGTGTCTTTAAAACCCGGTAATTTTTAAAAGTTACTCCAAAATTCGCTTGAAGATGAAATGGAACTAATGCTTTTAATTTAATTGCAAAATTAAATTCGGGGTTTTTAGCTTCTATTTTTGAAACATGGTTGGAACTGTGTAGCGAAAAAAAACATATTTTAAATCAATTAATTTATAATATTAATGCTCTGTAAATTTACATTGAGCACTATTTTGTAAAAATAAAAATATCTATAAGAACACCGGATTTTTATATCTTACTGTTTCTTTTTATTTATATATATATATATATATATATATATATATATATATATATATATATATATATATATATATATATATATATATGTTATTGAAAATCTTCACTCTTTTATACATTTACAAGAGAGGAGTTTTACAAATTTAACAGCAATAGGAAATGTTGATTGATTTTTAAATTTGAATACAAGTAATTTTGTTTTAATTTGTAACTAATTATTAAATGAATAAACTGAAGCATACTTCAATCAACAAAAAGTGCAATAAAATGGCAGGCTATAGTAATTCAATAAAGAAAAATTTCAACAAAGGATCAGTGTATTTAAATCGATTTTATTCTGAGTAAGATTACAGTCATGGGCTCCAAATTTTTAAATAAAAAAAAAAAACAGGAAAAGTAAACAATTCACCCAACCGGGATTCTTCAAGATAACCTGTAAAGCATTTTGTTTCTCCATTTACAGTTAGTATTTGAGTTCTTAATCACTTAATATTTCTCTCCCACTCTCTATCTCTCTCTATCATTGTGTTCATATCTCTCTATCCCTCTCTATTAGTGTGTTCAATAGAGTCTCACATACCTGATTCAGTTACCTTCTATCATGAGTGTCTATTAGGGTTTGTATTGTGTGAACATTATTAGCCATTATCCATTATGGCCTTCATTTCCCCACACTAAAAACTGACACTGATCATATTTCACTTTTTGCCTTTGTTGGGTTTAAAATAATGTCTAGCAGTGTATGTCCACTGGTGCAAATCAAACTCACTCTCTAAATAATGTTCAGAGAGACTGGTTTGCTAACTATTGATCCATGATGAAGTGATCTTATTGGTAGTTATGAAACTTATCATGGTTAGCACAAAGCTTCAAATGTGGTGTACCCAATAATGATTGAAATCAATAGAGAGACACAATACAAGGAGGTATTTCTCCAAAAAGTCCACTGAAATACAATATGGCATAAGGCCAAATTTAAAGTGTGCGTCCCACATATACCAGAGGCTAAATATAGTCCAAGTCCTCAGCATTTCCTCTTTAGTGAGGGCCTTGGGTACCAGAGATTGCTTGGAGAGATGGACCCCTCTAGAATTGGACTTCCATTCTTGTTGCTTTCAAGCCAAACTTCACTTAACTTATCTGCTATTTACACATCTCCCCAATCCTCAGGACTATTTCCAGGACTCTTTCTGCTATATAGGACTGGGAATATATTGGGAATACTTGACATCATTGGGAGTGTGCAGGTGGCAGCACCACTTGGAACAGTCATGAGGAAAGTGTTGTATCTCTAAGCTATGAGTAGGAGCTGAGATATGATCATCACCTAGTCAAAACATCAGAGAGGATATCAAATAATAATAATAATGCCAACTTAAGAAAATGACTGGAAGATGGTTACTCAAGCTAAGGTATTCTTTAGAAATATGAGTGTTCTAGAAGCTTAACTTTATAGGATACAAGGCTGAATTAAAATTTGTAATGTAGGAAAATTGTGTTCACTCTTTGTATTGTTGTTCAGTTCTGGCTCAAGCCTACAAAATTAGTGGGGCAACTAGTGAAGACTCAATTCATTACTAATAAATTATTGGTTCAGCATCGAAACAAAAAGGAAACTTATACTTAACACCAGGAAGAGGCAGTTGAAATTCCTGGTGTACATAAAGAGGAAGGCTGGCTTGGAAAATCTGATACTCACAGGAGGGGAAAAGAGGGACAGAGGAAAGAAGAGCATGACCTACTTGATAAATTTGAGTAAATAGATGGTAGAACAGGGTTTGGGAGAAATAGCAAAAAAAGAAAACTTATTAAGAGCTACAAAGGATAGGAAGATGTGCAGGACCATGACTGTCTATGTTTTGAAGGGACTTGGCACATAAAAGAAGATTGGCTATATTGTTAAGGCTGTGCTACGATTGTTAATAACGACTCACTAAATTCTAAATACTTGCATTTTTGTGTTATGTTTTTTCTTGTGTTGTCAACCTGGTCGTAAAATTGAATAGTTTTTTTGGGGTTTTTTTGTCTAAATTCACATTCGTATATAATAGCACTAAAAAGTGAATTCTGCTGAAAAAAGATAAAACAAAAAAAACGATTGTTAATAACGACTCACTAAAAATACTTTCATTTTGTGTTATGTTTTTTCTTATGTTGTCAACCTGGTAAAATTGAATAGTTTTTTGGGTTTTTTTTGTCTAAATTCACATTCGTATATATGAGCACTAAAAGTGAATTCTGCTGAAAAAGATAAAAAAAAAATTAAAAAATAATAAAACGAACAAGAACTCATTTTTTTAAAAGAATTCCAAAGGTGATAACATTTTATTCTCTAAATTATGAATAACCCTAATTCTTCGGATAGTGGGATAGTTTCCTATTGTTTTCTAGTTTTCATCATGATTTTGAATTCGGAGTTATGTCTCTAGCTAGACTGGTTGCCCTCTCAAAACTAAAAAGAACCCAATCAGATGTATGATTTTTTTAATTATCGCTTTGAAGTCAAGACTAGATGGATTCCTAAGGCTAAAAAATCATGAACATGAAATGAATACTGTGATTTACAGTTAGTTTGTAGTAAGTGTTTTTCTTTCTTTCTTTTTTTTTTCTTCTGGTAGAGGGACATGTCTGGGAAGTTGACATTTCTTCCACTAGTTTGTTTAATTTAAATTTTACGCATGGATCACTATTTTACAGATCGTGATCAGAGAGATGAAATTTAAATATTTATTATTGCATTATTCCAAAATTTCCACATCAGCAGATAGCTATTAATGTCAACAACAGAGAACAAATAGTTATTAATTAATTAAAAAAAATGTAATTAATGTATTAATTAACAAATTACATACAAGAATGTCGTTTTTAATAAAAGTTAAAAAATAACCATAAATACGTTAAAAATGCTTAAGTTATAATGCTTAAACAATAATAATTAATACTGAATAAATTTTTTTAAAACATTAAAGTTAAAGTATATATTTAATCACATCTCCCTAATTATTAGGACCTAGCTGTCGCGATCTATACTTTTTTTTTAAATTTAAAAATATATTTTGAACAAGAGTAGAGGTTCATCCCTTGTTTTCTGTTTCGGATTGAGTTTCCGGTTCCTTAAATTCTACTTCAATTCTATACTCTTCTTAACGTCTCTGCCTGAACTCTGAAATTTTATTTGGTAATTGGTAGTCTGGAATTAGCTGCCTGACTTTCCTAGTTGCCCTTTAATACAACTCCACACAGTAGCTCTCTACCTTGAGTGGCACTTGGGCCTTGAATTGGGTGAACATTAGTTAAAAAATAATAAAAAATGAGATTTTAATGGGTTCATGCTTAAAAGTTTTATTGCTTAATTTTAAGTTTTTTTTAACCCATTTAAAATTAAACAACTTTCTTTGTCTCTCCCCCACACATACACACACACCATACAATCACATTTAAATTGAAAAACAACATAGTAAAGTAATTTTAAAATTCCCTAACCTTTAAAGTAAACAAACCAAAAATGCTACTTTTTTTTAGCAATTCTTTTCTACTTTAAAAATATAATTCTCATGTTTTTAAAAATAAGGAATTAATCAGAAACGAAAATGAACTAAAAAGTCCAGTTTGTGTTTGAGGGAGTCTGTCTTGTTTGTCCGTCCTTCCCCTTTTTGGGAGGGTGATAAGCGTCCAAGAGACTAAAAAAGTGTCGATGGAACTGAACTATTTGGGGCCTCTCATCCCATCTATGTGTGTGATCCTCATTTTTAAACTCGGCTTTGATTGAGTTGTGGGAGTTCAGATAAGTAAACAATAATAAACAGGGAAGCACATTAATTGTATCGTGTGCGTGTCTTTTTTGTTGATGTTATTGTTATAGCAACGACGCCATAGCGACCAACTGCCTATAATTGTTTGGTTGAAACGAGAAGGGGAGAAGTTTTAATTACTTTAAAAAAAACAAAACATTTTACTGTCTTTCAAAAAAGTCATGGAAGGGTTGCCTTTTATTCCTGGAAACACTTTTAGGGATCCAACGGTAAGGAAACGACATCTCTTGAATTTATTTTCGATTGTTGAATTAATTTTTTTGTTATTTGCTATGTGAGGCGTGGGTAATTTCTTCGCTAAGTCCGGTACAAGGTTACAAGTTATTTACCTAGTGAGAATCGAATGTACTTTTAGGAAATAAGATCTGCCTTGACTAACATCTCGTTTACCATTTTATCTTTTTACACGGCGATCTTTTTACCTATCATGTATTTGAACTTTTCAACTTCATTATTATCATTCGACCGATCAGCAGTTGAAGAAATTTACCAACCAAACTTTTTGGTCCAAAACGGCAAGATAAAAAAAACAAAAAAACAAACAAAACAAGGGGGAGATGAAAATACTAGTTTTAATAATTAAGAGAATTATTATTCATTAGTGTCTGTGTTTCCAGTGTTTTTAGATTTTAAAACTTCAATGACTTACTTCGTAGACTTCACTTTTAACTGAGTACAGTTCCATGGATTTTTTTGTTTTTTTTATTCAACGATGTAGTGGGGCAAAACAGGTTTATTTTGGTTATTTTATTTATTGTAAATGAATTTTGTAAAAATGTAATTAAATTTATTCCCATAATTTATTTGTCTTTTTGCTTCGCCTGATATTGTAAGTTAGGTAATTAGTCTTTTAAAATAACTCTAGCAACAGAAAATACAAAAATTCTTTTTATCAAAGACCATTAAGAAAAACTAATTTTTTTGTTTGAGTTTGAGCATTTAATTTTGTAATCTTTTGAATGCACAAAAATTAAAAAAAATTGACAATTAATTAATATATCCCTCTAAAAAATTATTGTAAAAAAAAAAAAAAAAACCTTTATAAATTCAGTTCAGTTCATTCATCTATGAATTTTTTCGCGTGTTTTGCCAGTACTAACAGTCGTTCTATCGAAAATCCTCTCACTCCCAATACACAGTATATTATGAAATGTAGAAAAAAATGGTTATTATTTGGAAAACTAAAATAACAAAAATAGAGAATGATCTGACTATGCGACAAACACATTTTTCCACTTTGTTAAAAACACGCACATAACACATACGTACTTCTTGTACGTGGATACACACAGAACAGTTGTGGGAGTGGATTCGATAGATTAAATAAATTGAACTTTTGGGTTGGGGGGGAGTTGAATGTTATCTAATGAAAAATCAAAATCATTTTTTTAAATACTGTTCACCATTCAACCAGACGGTCAGTCTTATTTAAAAATTCCCTTGGTTTACAATTGGCGTTGCTATTGGAAACTATGACGTCACCTCAAGTCAGTATTTAAACTCGAGCGCGCCATTTTTTTTAAAATTTTTTTTTTATCCAACACTCACGTACGTTGAAAGTAAAATTTCGGCACCCAAACCAAGGTGTGTTACTTCATTCTTCTCCATTAAGTAAATCATTTCAAATTCTTTGTCCTATGCCTTGGATCTTTAGTTTTTTTTTATTGCTTGTTTATCAAAATAATTTCCAACATGAACTCGCGATATCTCTTCAATCTTCATTAAATTTCGTAATTGAATTGACAAAGTCGTGAGCAACTATTATACTTCTTCTTTGATACTTCAGTTCAGTATTATTTGCACTTTTCAAATAATCAGCATTACCGCAAAAAGAAAATTTACCTGATGCTTGAATTTATTTAAAAAAAAAAAATATTTCGTGCTATTATTTCGTATTATTACTCTCATTTCGGACATTGCTTGTTTAACGTTCTCTATGGTTATCATTATCATAGAATTATTCCTTTTTTTCGTATCGTCTCTTTATCTATAACTAGCAGCATGGCCCGGCGTTGCCCGTGCTTGATTAAAAAATCGTACGAATTAAAATATTTAATAGTTTTGCCCTTCCTTGCCTTTAAAGGAGTGCCCTTTGCTATGCTAATGTTGCTACATACCTTTGCCTATCTCACACTGCGAATTTTTTCTAAGCTCTACTAAACATTAAATCTGTTACGAAAAAAGAACTAAACAAAATGAACACAAAACGATCAGCTTTAAAAAAGGACTCGTAACTGGAAAAAGCGAATGAAAAAAGAATGTTAACAACAAATACTTTTTCACATCCAACCGAGTTCTGCGGAATCAGAATGAACGTTGAGTTTAAGCAAGCGAATGAGCCAATTGGAGTAAAGTGCCATGCAGATTTAAATTTTTCTCACTTGTGACGAATGCAGCTATCGATTTTTTTGCATGCTAGTTAACATTCGTGTCAGTCAGCTGTTGGCTCTCATGCTGGCCAATAGAATCTTCCTGCCTATTCGTGGCAGCCAGCTATAGGCTCTCACTCTGGCCAGTAGAAAATGGCCACAAACTACATGAAAACTGCTGTAGAAGCATGAAAAATCGATTATTTCCACTATCGATAGGAGTTGGGAAATGCAAAGTCGGTCTTGGCCTTCCGCTAACTTGGAGCATGTGCATGTAAATTTTGGTGCAAATCTGTCGAAAATTGCGGTTTTGCATTCGTTACACACACACACACACACACACACACACACACTGCCTTTTATAAATAGAGATTCTCAAAAATCAAAATGTGTGTGTGATCAGCTCTTGTTTATGCGTTTCCACAGTTTTCATCTGATTTCGATGAATTTATTTTTTGTTTGACAGATAATTCTTCAATGCCGGTTTTGAGTCCAAATTGTTCGCGTCAATGGCTCTCCACTACTTCCTGTCCATTATAACTCTCAGCAACGTTTTACTATTTACTACCTGTTCTTGGATATATATCTTTCATAAAAACTTTAATAAAAACAAATAGCTTAAATTATTGCAATAATTATCTATATCTATAATTCTCAAAATGTGTGTATGTATGTACGTGTGTGTGTGTGATATCGGATGTTGTTCATGCGTTTCCAGTTTTCATCCGATTTCGATGAAATTTTTTTTGTTTGACAGATAATTCTTCAGTGACGGTTTTGAGCCCAAATTGGCTGGAAAAATTACAACCTTGAAGGTGAAAAATAAAAAAAACTGATTTTTTACACTTTGTGCAAAAAGCAAAGGCAAAATTTAATTTACTCTTTCAGTCTTTCACACATAACCTTGCAATCCTAGCTTATGCCGTGTGGGGGCATGATTCGCACCTCCACACGTTGCCCATTGGTTCCTGCTGACCTTGATAATTAGCGTGTGCAGCAACGTGTATGTGTGGCCCTGCAATATGCGCTGTGTCACACACTGATGCATGCTCATATGCATGACCTGCGAAACGCGACACCTGTTCGAGTTACCCATTGGCTGCACAAAGGTCCTTTACATGTTCAATCAAATGTCGTAATGAAAGACCTGGTCGAAGACAGGTTATACTGCTAGTAAATAGATAATCTTTCAGTTGCCGTCATTGCAATGTAATGATTTTTTTTTCATGTAATTGCATTTATTGACTTTAACTTTGTCTTTATTTTTCATAAAAGCTTCTGTAATTAAATAATAATAATGTTTTAGTTTTATTGAGTTTTTTATTTTTTGATTCAGAATGGATTTTTGGAAAAACGGGGTCCAATTTTGCAAAATAAAATCGGTGATTTTAAATTCATCAAAAAATTCTGTTTTAACTAATATAGTCACTAGAAATTATCTCGATTTTCTGAAGCTTTCATAAAATCAAGAGGATGAAACACATGTAAAAAAAAACATATTTTTACCAAGAGTTTCTAATAAAAATTTCAAAAATAATTTTATTCGTTAATAAGTTCTGAAAATATTAAAATCCGACAATTATTTCATTTTTACAAGAATTTCCAAATTAATGTGTCATCACAAAAAAAGAGGCTAAAATTTGCTAAATGAAATCTGTGTGGTATTTGTTTAAATCTTTGTATAAACTGTTTTTGAGGTGTTTGTAATGTAGTTTGTGAGTTTAAGTGAAAGATTGTATGTTGAAGTTGTTGTATTAATCTGTTTTTGTGGAATTTAAACAGTTTTGTGCAATGTAAATTTTCAATAGTTTCAGTAGTTTGGAATAAATTTAGTTGTGGTAAAAGATATCTTCCTTTGACTGTTTCTTTTGTCAAGAAATAATTGTGAATTGTTTGAGCAAATTCAGAAGAGAAATAATGTTCTGTGATTGAGAACTTGAAGTGATAAGCAATTCTCTGTTGTGGAATAAACAAAATTGAAAATGAGTGAGAGATGTCTGAAGGTTTGGATTATGTTAAAAGGTAACTTTAAAAAACTTCAGATGATAAAGTGACGGATTTGTTTAGCAACTGGTCACGATGCTCACTAGTAAGATAAGTTTGCATGCTGAATTTATTTATTTGGGTGGACACGTGATAGGCTCCAGGAAATATTTAACTCAATCACAAGATGAAAAATAGATGTCCATGGATGGATGGTGTTATAGACAAGCGTATGGTTGCAAGAAAAAAATACGACAACAGCTGAAATAGATTTACGTGATTTATTTCAACAGGAACGTGTGGGTTTGGGACTGCTTCCTTGTGGTATAATTCATAGGCCGGCTGAAGATCTGGGTTGATCTCTCATAGTAGTTCTCACAGGTTGGGTAGCGCTCCTCCTGCTGGCTGCTGCTGACCGCTCGGCCTGGCCGTGACAGGTCTCTTCCCTTGCCACCTGTTGACTGCCGTTGTACTTCCGTGTGACCCCTTTTATGGCGTCTTTTTATGTCTTAACAGGCTCGAAAAACGACGCGAGTATAATTAGGAGGGAAGCATTTTTATTGGTCGAAAAATAGAAACACTTTAAAATATTATTTTATGTTTCGACCGGAACTCGTGCGTCGGAAACATGTGTAAACGAAGATAATGGTCATTTTGTGATGGGGCTTTGCCTCGTTCACATCCGGCTCTCGCTCTTGAGTATGTTAGTTTATTTGCCTGTAAATCAGCCGAGATATGTCTTATTTTATTTTATAACAAGGCTCCCCCAGATCTCGGTCTGATTTACAGTGAGCGTTATTCGTGTATATTTGTGTGGTTAATTCATGATAAAGTCTCTGAAGCGTGTGGGAAGTTGT